GGGACAGGGAACAACACATACCTGGTGGTCGCGATTGACTACTTCACCAAGTGGGTCGAAGCCGCCCCCGTGCCAACCATCACTGCGGAACAGATGACAAAGTTTGTTTCCAAGCAAATCTTGTGCCGATTCGGGGTGCCCCAGCAGATCATCACTGACAACGGAACCCAATTCGAGGCCGGGGGGTTCAATGAGTTTCTACAGAGCTGGGGCATAAAACACAGCTATGCGGCGGTCGGGTACCCCCAAACCAATGGGCAGGTTGAGAACACCAACCGTACCATCATGGATGGCCTCAAGAAGAAGATAATGGAATGCAAAAGTGCCTGGGTGGAAGAAGTGCCCTATATATTGTGGACCTACAGAACTACTCCAAGGAAGGCAACATGTGAAACCCCTTTCTCGCTCACATATGGATTTGAAGCAAGGGCTCCAGCGGAGACCTCGTTGTTAAGTTATAGAGTAGAGACGTTTGATGCTCAAGGAAATGAGGAGAACCTGAGGGCAGAGCTGCACCTCATTGATGAGCGAAAGGAAAGGGCATATATGCGGGCAGAAAACTACCACCGGCAGGTCAAGTCATATCACGACCAGCGGGTGCGACCAAGGCAGTTCAAGATGGGCGACTAGGTCCTTCGGAAAAGGGAGGTCAGCCGGACCGATGGAGGAAAATTTGCTAAAAGCTTCGAGGGGCCATATATCATAAAGGAGGTGTTGGCCGATGGGACATTTAAATTGCAGACTCCAACCGGTGGCGACATTCCGCGAGTATGGAATGCCGCCAACCTTATTAAATTTTATCAATAAATTGTATTCCAGCCATGTCTTTTTTTTTGAGATTTAATAAATCCAGCTCTCTGGCACATCTTGTCTCCAATTCTCAAAAAAAAAAGAAAAAAAAAGAGAGGAACGACCACAAGAGATCGATCGCTAAAATTGCACGGTGATTCGTGCTAAGATACCCAGTAGTGGGTGAAGCGTCGAACCCTGTCAGGCGACCAAGGTTGAAGACGACGCCGTGGCAAGAAAGTCTAAGAGAACGGCTAAGTCTGAAACACAAGATCTGTTGATCGCATGAGCGACCAGGAGATCTTGGGGGTATGGCGACGCCACAAGGGTCAAAGTAACCCGAAAGTGGCTAAGTCAAAAGAGGCGAGGTATTCTCTGATTCAAGTCCGAGGGAACCGGAACGTCAAATATAGGATGCGAAAGAGAAGAAGGTGAAACTTGTAAGTAAGCAGGTAACACCAAAATACAGTCACAGAAATGTTCATTACATTTCAAGGATAATCTCTTGCATCTACTACAGTACAGTTGAGAACAATCTCTACGTTAGGAAGGATACTTCCCCATACATCTCCTACAATGAAAAACAACAATCTAAGACTTTGCGAGCGAAGGTCTAGGGGGGACAGGCAGGTCTGAAAGGTAGTTCTACGGCTGTATAGGCGAGCAAAACTCCGATCACCGGCCGTCCAGGACGACCACCTTTCTTCCCCAACATGGAATGGGAGTGGTCGCCCCCAGCCTCGGCAAAAACCCACCGCCCTTCTCCTACCAAGGAAGGACGGGGGACGGCTCACTTCTCTGTGAACCCCAACCAGCATCACCTAGGCGAGGACGGAGATCCTGAAGCCGCTCGAGCTACTTCAGGTCGCCTAGGGGTCTTCTGGGGAAGTGAACGGCAAGCGGGGCGAGGTAGGGGAGAACCCAGTTCTTCCCCTAACACAACCTCCTCCGAAGGCCTCACCGGCGAACTGGTGCGACTTTCGCTAGTCCATCGCTCAAAACTTGCGTAATATGCGCACTCATGCTCCAGGAGGGGTAAGTGCTCATCTTGAAAGCTCTCCCAGGCCATACATTGCAGGGAATGGAGGGGGCATGGAGCATCCCAGTCAATCCGCCCGTCAGG